AAATCCAACATTTCTGCTAATTTGAGCTCATTTTCAAGGTACTTTTCATTGTGAAAGCAATCAAAATCAGATATATTTCTGTAATATATCTTCCATTCTATCAAATGAGACCAAAAAACGAGAATACAACCATAAAAACCATACGAAAATATACCGCTAAGAGGTGGCTAATGGCTTAGAAGTGAACTCCGTTATTTATCATTCAATTTCTTTCATTTTTGGTGTATGTTAAGAAGCATCTTTCCATCATACCTTGCCCAAGTTTCAATAAGATAGCCCAACAAACTACTGAGAGAAAAAAATAATTATAATAATAATTATAATAATATCTTTATTTACTACAATCACATGTACATGGTATACAGGCCTAGCTGACATCAGTGACATACTACTATATAGAAGGGCCCTTGTTATGCTAAACATTTCAGGCAAATTAGGTCAGTGTCCCAGGATAAGACCCACACCAGTCCACTAACACCCAGGTACCCATTTACTGATGGGTGAACATAGACAGCAGGTGTAAAGAAACACGCCCAATGTTTCTACCCTGGCTGGGAATCGAATATTTACCAAAAATCATATATGGCAAGCCCAAGCCAGGTACTAGAAATAAGTCACTTTGTCTGACATTTTTGGGTTATCCTAGGTTCTCTACACATGTGCTGCTATGTATGATAATCTATATAGAGAAAATAGCATTTTTGTTTCAGTTTTATGGTGTAGTACAAGTGTATATCACAGCCATGTGCTATACTCCGTTTTCTCTAATATAAGCCCCAAGACGGATAGGAGAATTGTACTTACATCCCATGTCCTCTTCATACCTCTGTTGAACTGCTTGATATTATGCCAAATATCATTAATTCTGGAGTATTAATGTGTTGTTATGTTATTTATATTGTTTATTATGTCATATTAGATCAGTTATTTTTTTTTTTTTATTATCACACCGGCCGATTCCCACCAAGGCAGGGTGGCCCGAAAAAGAAAAACTTTCACCATCATTCACTCCATCACTGTCTTGCCAGAAGGGTGCTTTACACTACAGTTTTTAAACTGCAACATTAACACCCCTCCTTCAGAGTGCAGGCACTGTACTTCCCATCTCCAGGACTCAAGTCCGGCCTGCCGGTTTCCCTGAATCCCTTCATAAATGTTACTTTGCTCACACTCCAACAGCACGTCAAGTATTAAAAACCATTTGTCTCCATTCACTCCTATCAAACACGCTCAAGCATGCCTGCTGGAAGTCCAAGCCCCTCGCACACAAAACCTCCTTTACCCCCTCCCTCCAACCCTTCCTAGGCCGACCCTACCCCGCCTTCCTTCCACTACAGACTGATACACTCTTGAAGTCATTCTGTTTCGCTCCATTCTCTCTACATGTCCGAACCACCTCAACAACCCTTCCTCACCCCTCTGGACAACAGTTTTGGTAATCCCGCACCTCCTCCTAACTTCCAAACTACGAATTCTCTGCATTATATTCACACCACACATTGCCCTCAGACATGACATCTCCACTGCCTCCAGCCTTCTCCTCGCTGCAACATTCATCACCCACGCTTCACACCCATATAAGAGCGTTGGTAAAAACTATACTCTCATACATTCCCCTCTTTGCCTCCAAGGACAAAGTTCTTTGTCTCCACAGACTCCTAAGTGCACCACTCACTCTTTTTCCCTCATCAATTCTATGATTCACCTCTTTCTTTCATAGACCCATCCGCTGACACGTCCACTCCCAAATATCTGAATACGTTCCCCTCCTCCATACTCTCTCCCTCCAATCTGATATTCAATCTTTCATCACCTAATCTTTTTGTTATCCTCATAACCTTACTCTTTCCTGTATTCACCTTTAATTTTCTTCTTTTGCACACCCTACCCAAAATTCATCCACCAATCTCTGCAACTTCTCTTCAGAATCTCCCAAGAGCACAGTGTCATCAGCAAAGAGCAGCTGTGACAACTCCCACTTTGTGTGTGATTCTTTATCTTTTAAAATCCACGCCTCTTGCCAAGACCCTCGCATTTACTTCTCTTACAACCCCATCTATAAATATATTAAACAACCACGGTGACATCACACATCCTTGTCTAAGGCCTACTTTTACTGGGAAAAAATTTCCCTCTTTCCTACATACTCTAACTTGAGCCTCACTATCCTCGTAAAAACTCTTCACTGCTTTCAGTAACCTACCTCCTACACCATACACTTGCAACATCTGCCACATTGCCCCCCTATCCACCCTGTCATACGCCTTTTCCAAATCCATAAATGCCACAAAGACCTCTTTAGCCTTATCTAAATACTGTCACTTATTGTTTCACTGTAAACACCTGGTCCACACACCCCCTACCTTTCCTAAAGCCTCCTTGTTCATCTGCTATCCTATTCTCCGTCTTACTCTTATTCTTTTCAATTATAACTCTACCATACACTTTACCAGGTACACTCAACAGACTTATCCCCCTATAATTTTTTGCACTCTCTTTATTCCCCTTTGCCTTTATACAAGGAACTATGCATGCTCTCTGCCAATCCCTAGGTACCTTACCCTCTTCCATACATTTATTAAACAATTGCACCAACCACTCCAAAACTATATCCCCACCTGCTTTTAACATTTCTATCTTTATCCCATCAATCCCGGCTGCCTTACCCCCTTTCATTTTACCTACTGCCTCACGAACTTCCCCACACTCACAACTGGCTCTTCCTCACTCCTACAAGATGTTATTCCTCCTTGCCCTATACACGAAATCACAGCTTCCCTATCTTCATCAACATTTAACAATTCCTCAAAATATTCCTTTCCATCTTCCCAATACCTCTAACTCTCCATTTAATAACTCTCCTCTCCTATTTTTAACTGACAAATCCATTTGTTCTCTAGGCTTTCTTAACTTGTTTAATCTCACTCCAAAACTTTTTCTTATTTTCAACAAAATTTGTTGATAACATCTCACCCACTCTCTCATTTGCTCTCTTTTTACATTGCTTCACCACTCTCTTAACCTCTCTCTTTTTCTCCATATACTCTTCCCTCCTTGCATCACTTCTACTTTGTAAAAACTTCTCATATGCTAACTTTTTCTCCCTTACTACTCTCTTTACATTCATCATTCCACCAATCGCTCCTCTTCCCTCCTGCACCCACTTTCCTGTAACCACAAACTTCTGCTGAACACTCTAACACTACATTTTTAAACCTACCCCATACCTCTTCGACCCCATTGCCTATGCTCTCATTAGCCCATCTATCCTCCAATAGCTGTTTATATCTTACCCTAACTGCCTCCTCTTTTAGTTTATAAACCTTCACCTCTCTCTTCCCTGATGCTTCTATTCTCCTTGTATCCCATCTACCTTTTACTCTCAGTGTAGCTACAACTAGAAAGTGATCTGATATATCTGTGGCCCCTCTATAAACATGTACATCCTGAAGTCTACTCAACAGTCTTTTATCTACCAATACATAATCCAACAAACTACTGTCATTTCGCCCTACATTAGATCAGTTGTGATAGGCAAATTAGCCGTAGTGTTGATATTAGCATAATAATAAACCATATTCCCCTGCATCACGAGAATGAGCTCATGGCAACCAACAGTGGCTTCCAAGCCACCTTATCTTTTATGGACAATGTACTGTGTACATGTATGTGCTTTACACAACAAGAAGCATTTCTTTTATTTGTTGGAACCATGGCTAGGGCTAAAAGTAAGCAGGTTATAACAATAAATGGAGAAAGAGAAATTGGAATGACTTATGCAGCAAGTAGTGCCACCAAACAGTACAGCAGGTTTGTGTGGCGACCCTGGAAATCTGAAATTTTGCTAGCTGAAATTAGTGCCGAATAACTGATGGAACTGGGTAACTGAGTGCTGGATTTGTGATGGCGGACCTGTATTAGTAAGCATATGAATAGCAGTAATTAAAACTAGCAGTCTTAAATGTTAGTAAAGTTTAGTAAATTGAATCTAGAAAAAAGCAATTTGAAGCCTTAGTTTAGACTCATGAAATCGTAATGACATGATTGCAAACAAACTATACCATGGGTGGGGGTAGAACAAGTGATCAGAGAGTCATAAAACTCCTGATCGACGAGTTAGCCACTGGCTAACATATTGGTTTGGAGTTTTATGACTCTTTGACCATGAGTTCTATCCCTGCCTGTGGTATGGGTTGGTTTCCTTAGTTTAGACATTGCAGGCACATATGATGAGTCACTGTAACAGTTTCCTTCTCATTGCAGTAGTATTGGCATTTGGTAGACGTACGTAATCAAGTGGCTCACTTCGTTGCATGGATTCCGATTACATTGGGGGCTAATTTCTGTATTATTTGGCCTTGCATCCTTTACAGTCTGTTATTGATTGCCAGTGGTATGTGAGGTATGTTAAGATACAGTGGACCCCCGCATACCGTTGGCATCACATAACGTTAAATCCACATACCAATACATTTTATCGCTAAGATTTTGCCTCGCATACCGCTAAAAAACCCACTCAACACTATTCGTCCGAGACGCGTCTAATGTGCGGCCTGAGCCAGCCTCACATGTTCCGCCGGTGGCATTGTTTACAAGCCAGCCTCCATGGTAACATCCAAGCATACAATCGGAACATTTCGTATTATTACAGCGTTTTGGTGATTTTATCTGCAAAATAAGTGACCATGGGCCCCAAGAAAGCTTCTAGTGCCAACCCTGTGGTAAAAAGGGTGAGAAATATTATCAAAATACTGTGCAGATTACAGTGAGCTTATGGGGTAGTAATGGTGTTAGTGATTTTTAGTAGTGTTGGTACAGTAATTGTTGTGATGGTGACAGGTAAAGTGAGAGAGAGAGCAGATTCCTCTATCTTGCAACTTGTCTGTTTGTATGTATTCTTGTATATTATTAATTTTTGGTTTCAGAGAAGCAAATTAAAGCTTATGTCTAGTGCATATTTATAATTTTTCTTTGAAAATGTGATATTTGTTATTTTTCAGTTTATATGAAGGATGTTCGGAGCGAAGATATGGAAGCCTTGCTTGACTTCATGTATCGTGGTGTGGTGCACATTCCACAAGAGTCACTTTCTGGTTTGCTCAAGACTGCAGAAGGGTTACAGGTATGCCACACATATCTAATACTTGTAAAAAAATTCCTAAACTGTCTCCTCTATATTTCTCCTCATTCCTTTGCTCTCTTTCTTATTCTTCTGCTTACTTCAAACATCCTTTTCATCCTTTTCCTTTCACCAACAAGAAAATTATTATGCATAACATAAAGCATAGCATCTATGACTTTGCTTCTCAATCCATTTTACTGACATGTCAAATAATTTATGTAACAGTTTGCTTTTCCATAGATTCGTGGTTTAGGTTTGTTTGCACGAGAGGCAGCAGCAGATGCTCCTGTCGTGCCCTCAGAGCGTTCAGTGGTAACTGGAGCTTTAGAGCCCTCTGTCATGATGAGTCCAGAACGTAAACGTCCGTATGAAGTGGATCACTCCGAGTCTTCTCTTGTAAATTTTTCTGATGGTGAGCTGGATGATACAGCACTTCACACGCCAAAGAAAAGCAAATCAGATGAATCCACAGAAACCCCAGCACCTATTCCTGAATTACCGAGAGTTTCAGAAGATATGGTAAGTAGAGCGTCCTGTCTAAATTTGTGTATTTTAACCCTTCGAAGGTCGAGAGGCCCTCTCCCAAACTTGTTCTCAGGGTTGAAAAATTTCTGGAAAAAAAAAAAAGTTTTTTCTTATGAAATGATAGAGAATCTTTTTCCGATCATAATGACACCAAAAGTATGAAATTTGATGGAAAACTTACGGAGTTATGCTTTCGCAAAGTTAGCGGTCTCAAAGTGGGCGATTTCGCTCATTTTAAGCCCTATTTTCGGCAAGTTCCAATGCTATTTCTCTAGAACTCCATTTCTTCTATCGATTGAGTACAAGAATCCGCCCATTTACTGATTTCAACTACCCAATAAAGTGGTCAGAAATTGGCAAATTGGGCAATTTCACACAAATTTCAAAAGATGCCAATTTCGAAATAGGGTCCAGAATAAACAAGACAAATAATCATGGCACTAAAATAACATTTTATCTGTTCATTATTCACGTCTCTAGGCCCCTCTTACATTACTTTTACTTTCCATTTTGAATTTTTATTCCTACAGAAAATAGAAGGTTTTCTGTTATGTATACTACTGCATCATTGTAAAAACAGTATAAAAGATATCAGTGCACTTGTGAAAGAATATCAGACTCGCCAGTTGATGTGTATTGGACACGTGGCTTGATTTGTTTACTCTTGAACATTGGCAAAAATCGGTCATTTCCGCTACTTTGAGCTCGATTTTAAAGTACTTGTCATCGTGAAACCAATCAAAATCATCTCTAATTCTGTAATACAGTGGACCCCCGCCTTACGATATTAATCCGTTCCTGAGAGCTCATCATAAGCTGAAATTATTGTTAGCCGAATTAAATTTCCCCATAAGAAATAATGGAAATCAAATTAATCCGTTCCTGACACCCCAAAGTATGAAAAAAATATTTTTTTTACCACATGAAATATTAATTTTAATACACACAAACTGAAGAAGACATGCACAATTACTACTCTACTAACCCTTAAACTGTCCAAACGTAGATCTATGTTTGCATGCGTAGTGCTCTGAATGTAGATCTACGTTTTTTTACATTGTTTCTTATGGAGAAAATTAAGGTCGGAGCGCTACGCGCACAAATGTAGATCTATGTTTGGACAGTTTAAGGGCTGAGAATAGAATAAATGACACTTACCTTTATTGAAGATCTGGTGATGATTGATGGGATGGGAGGAGGGGAGAGTGTGGAAGTTATTGTTTAGAAGGGGAATCCCCTTCCATTAGGACTTGAGGTAGCAAGTCCTTTTCTGGAGTTACTGCCCTTCTTCTTTTAATGCCACTAGGACCAGCTTGAGTCACTGGACCTCTGTCGCACAACAGATCTGTCCATAGAGCTCTGTACCTCCCATTCCTTTAAGACTTTCCTAAAATGGGACATAATATTGTCATTGTACAGGTTGCCAACATGGCTTGCAGTAGCTGTGTCAGGGGGATTTTCATCCATAAAGGTTTGTAGTTAAACCCACTTTGCACACATTTTCTTAATCTCTCTTTTCAATTCCATACTTATTCTTGCCCTTTTTACCACAGGGATGGCACTAGAAGCTTTCTTGGGGTCCATGGTGACTTATTTTGCAGTTACAAGCACTAAAAACAATGGGATAATATGAAATGTACCAAATGTATGCGTAGATGCGACCACACTGGCGCTGAGGCCACACGTGGGACGTGTCCCGGACGAATCACGTAAGGCTAGGCAAAATTTTTGCATTCAGATGCTTCGTATGGCGGATTTAACGTAACGCGATGCGTTCGTAAGGCGGGGGTCCACTGTATATCTTCCATTCTATCAAATGAGACCAAGGAAACGAGAATACAGCCATAAATACCATACAAAAATAACCTAGAAAGTCGCAATTTTAAACCAAAAACACAATCGATGTTTTTTTCTTCTCATTATGCATGCACAGCATGCTTCAGGATTTTTTTTATACTGTGCACACTGACCACACAGACCCATTCTTTCATATGTAGGCCTGTCAGCTTTCTTCCACCATATTTGAAGGTGCTAGAATTTAGGCGTACAAGTACAAGATAGGGAAGCTGTGATTTCGTGTATAGGGCAAGGAGGAATAACATCTTGTAGGAGTGAGGAAGAGCCAGTTGTGAGTGTGGGGGAAGTTCGTGAGGCAGTAGGTAAAATGAAAGGGGGTAAGGCAGCCGGGATTGATGGGATAAAGATAGAAATGTTAAAAGCAGGTGGGGATATAGTTTTGGAGTGGTTGGTGCAATTATTTAATAAATGTATGGAAGAGGGTAAGGTACCTAGGGATTGGCAGAGAGCATGCATAGTTCCTTTGTATAAAGGCAAAGGGGATAAAAGAGAGTGCAAAAAATTATAGGGGGATAAAGTCTGTTGAGTGTACCTGTAAAGTGTATGGTAGAGTTATAATTGAAGAATTAAGAGTAAGACGGGAGAATAGGATAGCAGATGAACAAGGAGGCTTTAGGAAAGGTAGGGGGGTGTGTGGACCAGGTGTTTACAGTGAAACATATAGGACAGTATTTAGATAAGGGGTAAAGAGGTTTTTTGTGGCATTTATGGATTTGGAAAAGGTGTATGACAGGGTGGATAGGGGGGCAATGTGGCAGATGTTGCCCAAATGTATGGTGTAGGAGGTAGGTTACTGAAAAACAGTGAAAAGTTTTTACGAGGATAGTGAGGCTCAAGTTAGAGTATGTAGGAAAGAGGGAAAATTTTTTCCCCGTAAAAGTAGGCCTTAGACAAGGATGTGTGATGTCACCGTGGTTGTTTAATTTTATTTATAGATGGGTTGTAAGAGAAGTAAAAGGAGGGGCTTGGCAAGAGGCGTGGAGTTAAAAGATAAAGAATCACACACAAAGTGGGGGATTGTCACAGCTGCTCTTTGCTGATGACACTGTGCTCTTGGGAGATTTTTGGAAGAGAAGTTGCAGAGATTGGTGGATGAATTTGGTAGGGTGTGCAAAAGAAGAAAAATTAAAGGTGAATACAGGGAAAAAGTAAGGTTATGAGGATAACAAAAAGATTAGGTGATAAAAGATTGAATACAGATTGGGGGAGAGAGTATGGGGGAGGGAACGTATTCAGATATTTGGGAGTGGAGTGTCACGGATGGGTTATGAAAGTGAGGTGATCATAGAATTGATGAGGGAAAAGAGGAGTGGTGCACTTAAGTTGGGAACAAAGAACTTTTCCTTGGAGGAAAAGAGGGGAATGTAGAGGTATAGTTTTACCAAGCTCTTATATGGGTGTGAAGCGGGGGTGATGATTTTTGCAGGAGGAAAGGGCTGGGGGGGCAGGGGAGATTATGCTAGGGCAATGGTGGGGAATATAATGCGAGAATTCGTATTTGAAGTTAGGAGGGGTGCGGGATTCCCAAAAAACGTGCCGGGGGTGGGAAGGGTTTTTGAGGTGGTTCGGACATGTAAGAAAAGGACAAAACAAATGATTCAAAGTGTTCGGTAGGGAAGGAAGGGGGTGGGGGTCGGCCTAGGAGGGTTGGAGGAGGGGTAAAGGAGGTTTTGTGTGCGAGGGGCTTGATTCCAGCGGATGCGTGGGGGTTTTGATGGGGTAAAATGGAGACAAATGGTTTTTAATATTGACGTGCTGTTGGGGTGTGGCAAGAACATTTAAAAGGGATTCGGGAAACCGGCGGCCGGGACTTGAGCCCGGAGATGGGAGTACGTGCCTGCACTCTGAAGGGGGGGTTTAAGTTGCATTTAAAAAATGTAGTGTAAAAACACCCTTCTGGCCAGTGAGGAGTGAATGATGGTGAAAATTTTTTTTTTTTCGGGCCCCCCCTGCCCGGTGGGAATCGGGGTGTGAAATAAATAAAAAAAAGTACAGGTCTCCTAAATTCACGTTTCAAAATTTCCGGGGTTCACACTTTCCCAAATTCCCCAACCCCCAAATTCCCCCGCCCCAAATTCCCAGCCGCCAAAACATATTAAGTTTCCTGCCACCCCGCAGTCCCTATTTCCTCCCTCCCACCCCCGCACCACCAGGGGTGGGAGTGTTTTGTTTTTTTCTTATTGCTATTAAACTGCCGTTTAAAAATGTAAACCATTAGATGCATATTTGGAATGGCTATTTGGACAGGTATAGATGGGACACATGTGTTTTTCTCTTGAACATGCAAAGAAATTTAAACATTTCTGCTACAGCTAATAATAACAATAGTAATAATAATAATAATAATAATAATAATAATAATAATAATAAATATGATATAATTGAAGAAGGAAATTGTACAAAATACGAGGGAGTGGTTGACACATCGTCAGTGTGACTTTGTTTATGCTGGAGTGAACATTAGTCTCCCAGCTCTTCCAAACATTTCACAATAATTCGTTGTGTTTGGTGCTTGTAGATTTTAGTGTGACTGGAGTGGTAGAGGCAGTGATTGAGGCAATGGTATTTAATAACATACATGTTAATAATAATAATACATGTTATTAATAATATGTACTATTATTATTTATAACATATATGTTATTAAATACTTACATGTTAATAATAATACATGTTATTAATAATAAACATGTACTATTATTATTTATAACATATATGTTATTAAATACCACTGCCTCAACTGCTGAATTATTGTGAAATGTTTGGAAGAGCAGGGAGACTAATGTTCACTCCAGCATAAACAAAGTCACACTGACGATGTGTCAACCACTCCCTCGTATTTTTGTACAATTTCCTTCTTCAATTATATCGTATTTATTATTATTATTATTATTATTATTATTATTATTATTATTATTATTAATATTATTATTTTTTTTTTTTTTTTTTTCAACAAGTCGGCCGTCTCCCACCGAGGCAGGGTGACCCAAAAAAGAAAGAAAATCCCCAAAAAGAAAAACTTTCATCATCATTCAACACTTTCACCACACTCGCACATTATCACTGTTTTTGCAGAGGTGCTCAGAATACAACAGTCTAGAAGCATAAACATATAAAGATACACAACATATCCCTCC